GGCTAGCGGCGCAAGTACACCACGTCCCCGCTCTCATATTTCCGCTCCCGCGGCCGGTATCCGCTCTTTCGCACGTGCTCGTAGCGCCGCCGATCCCGATGTTGCGCCGCCAGCGGGTTGCCCACGCAGCGCCAAAGGCATCTCCCGCTTCAACGCCGCCGCCCGCTGCTCACACGCCTGCATCCACACATCTTCGGAATCGAAATCGACCGGCTCACCGAGTAATCCCCGCGCCGCAGCGCCCGTCAGCATGGGTTCCCGGCCGAACATGAGGAAGTAGGGTGAATACCCCGCGAGCGCCGCCTGTCGGCTCATCCGGTAGCCCATCACCATTCACGGCAGCCACTCGTCCCACGTCCGCCGGTCCGCTTCCGACCCGAACTTGGTGATGCCCGCCTTGATTGTCCGCACTAGCCGCTCCGTCAGCCCGTTCGACTTGGGGTGGTAGCGCGACGTCGTTCGGTGGTCAAGCAACACTTGCTGGCAGAGCTGATCAAACTCCCCCTCGAACTCCTTGCCGTTGTCCGTCAACACTTCCGCGCATGCCCCGAACCGCGTCAGCACCCCTAGGAACGCCTCCGCAACCCTGCCGGCATGCTTGGAAGGCATCACCCACACCTCGCACCACTTCAAGAAGTGCTCAATGGCAATGAGCACGAACTGCTTTTTGGACCGGGTGGTTATCAGGGCCGCCCCCCGCAAAGTCTAGGCTCCATCGATACCCCAACCCCATGATTGGCAGACTCTGCATCACGCTCATCTCCTTCGCAAAGGCCGCCTTCGTCCGGTCACAATGGTGACACCCCGCGACTCCCCGCCGTGCCGACTCGTACATCCCCGCCCGCTTCAACAGATGAACCGTCCGCTTCTCTCCCCAGTGGCCGGTTTCCTCGTGTACCGCCTGCACCACGCCTTCCCGCTCCGCCGGCGGTGGCACAACCTTTTCTTCCCCGTTCCCCAGCCGCCGCAGTAGCTCCCCGTCTTCAAACCTGTATGACAGGCTGCGCCGGCGCACTCTCTCTTGCTCCTTCTCGCTCCAGGCTGGGTCGGGCTGCTCTCCGCGCATCACCTGTAGGCGGTGGACATCCTCCCATATGTCCGTGAGGCTCTTTGCCCTCTCTCCTCCCAGTTCTGCTTCCGCCGGCACAGGCAGTTGCACGTCAGCAGGCCCGTAGTCGAGAGGTGCTGGCAAAGCCAAGTCCTCGAGCTAACCTGTGGGGTCATCGGGGTACTCTTCTCCCCCGATTTCCCACGCCCAAGGGAATTGTTGGTCGTTGCCCAGCGCCGGCCCCACCGCCCAGGCTTGCCACGCGAGCAGCGCGGACGCTGCCCACATCGGCTCCGCCGGCGGGTCGTCATGCACCCGCGCCCCCGTCAGGTCTTCCGTTTCCGGCAAGGGGCTTCTGCTGAGCCCGTCGGCGTTCATGTTAACCAGCCCCTTCCGGTACTTCACCTCGAAGTCGAACTCTTGAAGCATCAGCGCCCACCGCGCGTGCATGCCGGTGAGGTTCTGGCTCGTCATCAGCCACTCCAGGGGCCGGTGATCCGTGTACAACTTGAAGTGCACTCCGTAGAGGTACACCCTGAAGTATCGCAACCCCCACACTGCTGGTAGGCATTCGCCGGCGTAGCTGCTGTAGTTCGACTCCGCTCTGTTATTGCTCCGGCTCGCGTACGCCACTACCCGCTCGTTCCCCGCTTCGTATCTCTGCTGGAGGATCGCCCCGCACCCCGCCGCACTCCAATCCGTGTGCAGCTCGAACTCCCGTCCCGGATCCGGCCTCACCAGTAGCGGCGCCGCGCACAGCCCCGCTTTCAACTGGTCTATCGCCGCTTTACACTCCGTCGGGCAGCTCCGCGGAAACTCCAAGTCCTTCTTCAGCAGGTTGTTCAGCGGCCGGGCGATGACGCTGCAGCCCTTGAGGAAGCGCCGGTAATAGTTGATGATGCCAACCGGCAACGAGCTGCTTCAGGGCCGTCACGCTGGTGGGGTACGGGATCCGCTGGATCGCCGCCACCCTCAGCTCATGCGGCTTCAGGCCCAGTGACCGGGTTCACGAGGTGCCTTAGGAAGGGGATCTCTTGGAAGAGGATCCTGATCTTCTTCGGGTGCACCTTAATGTTGTACTTGCGCAGCTGCTCGAACACCGCGCGGAACGCGTCCAGGTGCGCCTCGAACCCGCATGAGTGCACGATCGTGTCGTCGATGAAGGCGCGTGCCACCTCCCGCAGCTGCCGCAGCACCCGGTCCATGAGCCGTTGGAAAAGCGCCGGCGCGTTCTTTGGGCCGAAGGGGGTGCGCAGGGGCATGTAGATGTCGTCGTGCCCCCAGAACGCCAGCTTCCACTGGTCCCCCTCCCGGATGCGGATCTGATGGTACCCCATCCGCAGGTCCAGGGTTGAGAAACAATCTCTCCCCCCCAGGTCATCGAACAGCTCGTCCGCCACCGGCATGGGGTACTTGTTCGGCACCGTCTTGTCGTTGTGCCGGCGGTAAACTCCACAAATCCACCGCTCTGTTCAGTTCCCCTCAGCGTCCTTCTTCCGTGGCATCACCGTCGGCGCGCAGTTGGCTCCTTCACCCATGGCGGCAGCTTCAGCCTCGTTATCAGCTTCGCTGCTTCCCGCTCCTCGCAGTAGGCCTTGAGCAGCTCGTGTTCGTACTGGGAGAACCGCTGGCGGGGCGCGAAGATGGGCTTGTCGGCCGTGAACTCCACTTCGAACTCCACCCCCTCTATCGCCGTATCGTTGAGGTCGTAGATCGACCAGCCAAAGATCTCCCGAAACGTCTCGAGCAGCTCCACAACCCGTTCTCTCTGCGCCTCGGTCAACCCCGGCCAGATCTGCTCGGCTCCCCACTCGAATGGCTCCTCCGCGCCCTTCCCGAACTGCTCCGCTCCTTTCTCCTTGGGGTTCGGACCAACCCCTCCGGCACCGCTTCCGGCCACTCAGGCCCTACTTCTTGTCTGCCGTGCGCGAGCGAGCGCAACCCTTCGATCTCAACCGCCTCCTCTTCTGCGCCGGAACCTTTTGGAGCGAAAAACTCTCCGATCCCCGCCCTGGCCCCCCGGCCCCCCGCTCTCTCTGGGTTTCTCACGCCCCTGGGATCCTCGCCCCCCCCCCACCTGCGGGTTGACGCTCCGGCTGCCCGCCAGCAGGTTCACTTGCTGGGTTTTGTTTCGGGTGACTCGGAACACCCTTGTTGCGGGGGCGCTGCGACCCCCGCGTGCCCCTAGTTGTGATTGGCGGCCTCACGCCACCGCATGATCTGCTTGCAGAGCAATACGTACGCGCGCACGTTGATCGCCGCCCCAATTAGCCGCGAGCGGTCCGTTTCGCTGACCCCCAATGCCTCGGTGGAGCCCCTCAGCAGCCCCATGATGCGCACCCGCTCACCGGCGTTTGGCTCTTGCCATTCTCTCATGTTTTCGTCGTAGACCATTCCAGGCCCCGGGACGTCTTCTGAGTGCAGACGCCAGGCATACGACCGCGGGGTGGACACTAGCGTGGGCCCCAGGAAAGATCCGCAGGGGCTCGCGGGCGACGTTCGTTGGGTGGTAGCCTCCGACTTCCACGTCGTTGGCCCGCGCTACTTAAACTATCCGCCCGGTGTTCAGCACGTCATGCGCCTCCCGCTTGTCGTTGCACCACTCCCGTTGAAGTTCTCTGTACCGTGCCTGCAGCTCTTCTGGGGGCGCCAGGTTTGTCCCGAAGACTCGCACCATGTGCGCCGGCGACCCCACTTTCGCCGCGTCTATCCGCACCCAGCGTTCAGGCCCTCTGCAGCACACCCGCCCCATCAGCTCAAACGCCCACCGCGCCTCCGGGCTCT